GAATCCTACACTTGCGAATCAGAAAACGAATCAGATCGTGGCGATCGAGTGATTCGTCAGGAAGAAGATATGCCATCAACGTCAAGATGTCCTGATTTTATACCGAGCACGTCATGCCACCAACCGCACAAAATAACACAGTCAGAATTAAATGATCTTGTTAAAGATTTAGAACTTCCAAAATGTAAGGCAGAGTTACTTGGATCAAGACTGCAGCAGTGGAACTTGTTCGAAGACGATGTTTCGGTATCTGTTTTTCGTAAACGCCACAAAGACTTAGAACCATTTTTCAATATGGAGAATAACTTGGTTTTCTGCAGTAACATTAACGGCTTATTGGCGGCTTTAAATATAAACTATAACCCAGAAGAATGGAGATTGTTCATAGACAGTTCAACATTGAGTTTAAAGGCAGTGTTATTGCATATTGGAAATATTTTACCATCTCTTACTGTAGGGTATGCAGTTCACATGAAAGAATCATATGACAATATGAAGTACCTATTGACATGCATAAAATACGATGAGCACCAATGGCATATTTGTGGCGATTTGAAAGTTGTTGCACTTTTACTTGGGCTGCAGCTAGGCTACACAAAGTTTTGCTGTTTTTTGTGTGAATGGGACAGTCGGACAAAGGCACTTCATTACACCAGACAAAACTGGCCTGTTCGTCAATTCCTAGAGCCAGGTCAAAAAAATGTACAGCATATGCCATTAGTAGATTCGAAAAAAATTGTATTACCACCACTGCATATCAAGTTGGGCCTAATGAAAAACTTTGTCAGGGCATTAGATAGAGATGGGTCAGCTTTTCAATACCTGCGTCAGAAATTTCCAAGACTAAGTGAGGCAAAGGTTAAAGAAGGTATTTTTGTTGGGCCACAGATTCGAAATATTTTGAAAGATACACAGTTTGAAAACACTTTAACAGGTATTGAAAAAACTGCTTGGAATGATTTCCGTCTGATGATCACTAATTTCTTGGGAAATAGAAAAGCTGACAACTATAAAACCCTTGTCAAAAATATGCTGTCATCGTATCAAAAGATGGGCTGTAATATGTCTCTTAAGATACATTTCCTACACTCACACGTGGACTTTTTTCCTGACAATTGCGGAGCCGTAAGTGATGAGCACGGCGAACGTTTTCATCAGGATATTTCAACAATGGAAAAAAGGTACCAGGGAAAGTGGAATCCTTCCATGCTTGCAGACTACTGTTGGACTCTTGGTAGAGATGCTCCAGAAACGATCCATAAAAGGACAGCAAAAAGACAGCGCATACAGTGATTTTTATAAGTATATGAATCTTGTTACTTTTTTAATATATCCTTAAAAATAAAAAGTTTTTTTTCAAAACCGCAACTAATTTTTTTATTTCATTTGTCATCTTTGGATTCAGCGCCCCAAAATTAACAAAGAAGTGCCCTTTTCCCACAAGATACAATTAAAAGACTAAAATTTGTTGTCCAGTGTAATCTGTCACATTTTTAAGAAAAACAAATCGTTTTTGTCTCCGAGAGTACTTCATGGTGATTATGATTTTCCATTTTAGCACAGGAATAACAGGGTTTATAACATATTTTAGGTAGTAGAGATACTCTGTACCCATTTGTCTTTGGAGAAAATGGTCAAATTTTGTTCAAAATATCACAGGACATGTTAGTGGCGCAAAGAGGTAACTTTTTACACTAAATTACGACACTTCATATCCCCTTAGAAGCTGCCAGAAATAAAAATAAAAGTACTTTCGAAGATATAAAGTGGAGTATCACTAAGGGAAATCCTGTGTATTAGAGACGAACTATAGACCCCCATATATACAGAAAAAAATAAATTATTATTTCGTCAGAAGGTTCCAGTATTGTTTGCTTTTGACTATTGTTCGTGTAATAAACATAGAAACTTCATCATTTTCATCGAATAGCTGAAGCGCCATACGCCACAATTCATCAAGCGCACCCTGTATAATACCTACAAGTTGTCCAAATCCCAACTAAAGCGAAGAGGCTGGACATTTGCTTTCATTAGCATAAATATTCGATAATATCATGTCGGCTCCAACGCTGGGTCAACGTCTAGAGATGATACCATCGCGTGGCGTGGCGTGTCCGTTTGAATTAATTTAAGATAGAGTTAGATTGAAAATGGAGGCATCATTGAAGTGAAGTACAAAATTTCTTTGGTATTTCGACAAAAAAGTGAAATTGATGAAAATGTACGCCTGAAACTTCGTTATCCGCGTTAGATATGAACACACCGTGACTCAAGTTAACTAGTTGAGATTCGCGAAAAGACTATAAAATGATCATTTCTGTGCGCGAAAAGTGTATAAGATGATCATTTCTGTGCAACAGCAAATAAATCTATGACTTATTATTGGAATAATAGTGTAGGGCGGTTAATATATAACTGAATTGGAGTTGTGAGAAAAATGATATATACGAGGGTCGTCCTATGCTCCGTCCATGGCACACTTCTGTTAAAGCATTTCTTTTATATTTCTTTTTGCTACACGTCCATCTTGTCGCACCATATCATGTATTTTTTCAATGTTTGGGCTAGTAGAACTCGTAATATACGTGACGTTGGATCTTTGGATCTTTCGAACTGTGACCATATAGTTTTACCAACCCCAAAGCCGGACTTTTTAGCGTTCGTTACATGTTTCGTTTTGTCAGCGTCTTTAGGAGATGGTCATAATACTCCCAGGATGAACTGAATCTGTTTGCTTTCCTACCCTATGATCTTGGTTAACTGTATACAAAGTTTCTGCTTGCTTATGGTCTACTTAAAATCACAGAATGCTTAGTATTGCGGTTGATTGACGGTTTGCCTTTTAAATGATGGTAGGTCTATCCGCTCATAGATCAGAACTGTTGTTTAGTGTTTGTTTTAGGTGTACGTGCCTTTCTACATTCTCGGCGTAGGAGTCGCAAGCTTTGGCGAACTATCTTTAGGTGGCAGATCTTACCTCTTTGTAAAACAATAATTGTACGTTTTTACATTTTGAAATCCTAGTTCTATCTCACCTCGCCTTCCCTGATTCGCTCAAGTAAGCGCAGCGGTCTGTAAAGGATGAAAAATTCCTTCGGAGAATCATTTCCTGGAATACATTTGTCTTTTTAGTTCGCCTGGTAATCTATGAGGCCAGATTAGAATTCCGGAGAAGTTTCGCACCAGTTTGAAGAAGAGAATGAAAAAACCATGAAGAGGTAATGGATTGCACGCTTCCAGATTTTTCTCTCTCCTGGCGGCTAGCTGTGGGTAAGTGGGGTCTGAGGGCTTGCATTTTTTATAGGCGAAGCTGATGAAAACCCAACACAATCATTGTTTATGCGAGTGGAACCGGAAGGGAAACGCGAAAAGGACATTTACTGAAAAAAGGAAACAACATGTAAATCAGATATCATCCACCCATAGATAGTTATGTACCTTACGGCTTCCTTACAGGGTATTCAAGTTGTTTTTTTCTAACACTGAAATATTCAATTTCTCCTAAATTAATTGGGTAGTTTAGATGAAAATGTGAAGTGACGTTATGTTAAGCGATTTAACCAGTATTGGCTATATCCGACTGAATTGTTGCGCGGCAAAATGAAACCTTAACAAGTATTATGGGGTTTAACCAAACACGCCACTGGTATCTTTGTGGCATTATCATGAAATTTTAAAACGAAAAAGAAATATCTACTGTTGATGAGCTATTTGGGATACTCAAGCTATAAGTCAAAAGAAAAGCCTGCTGTCAGCTCCGTCTAAGCGTGCTGAAAAGGTGATTCTACGACACCTTGAAAATTTCTCGTCAGATGACCATGTGATTCCTAACGTGCAATTCGGTTTTCAGTCTGAACATAGTACGAAGCTACGTGCGGTTAGGTTGGTGGAACGAGTAACCAGAGGATTCACCCTTAACAAAAGTACCGGCATCTTGTTTTTGGATGTCTCAAAAACATTTGACAAGGTGTGGCACGCGGGCCTCCTGTATAAACTAGTCCAAAAGGGCTTCCCTTTTTGGCTTTTAAAACTACTGAAATACTTCCCTGAAGATAGGAAATTTCGGATCAAAACTGACAATGTCCTGTCGACAACACGGCTGATTACAGCCGGCATCCCTCAGGGTTCGGTCCTTGGACCTATCCTTTACTCACTGTACATCCATGACGTCCCTAGTCCCAGCAACTGTGAAGTCTATCTGTATGCTGACGATACTGCACTGGTGGCTCAGTCGTGGTCTGGTGACCTAGTCCATGACAGGCTGCAAAGTGCGGTAGAGGAAGTATTAGATTGGGCGGATCGGTGGCTAATTAAAATTAACAATTCGAAAACGCAGGCATAATGTACAAAAAGACATCGCGGCGTTCCGTCTGAAGTTTTAATGAATGGACTTCGTATACCATGGGAATCCTCCGCTAAGTATCTCGGTGTCATTCTGGACAAAGGGATGACTATGGCGGAACCATATAGCGCTAAAAACTAAATTCCAAATTACGTTTCGACAGCTTTACCCATTATTATGTAAACTTTGAAAATTAAGTTTGTTTAACAAGATTCGACTCTATAAGGTGGTCATAAGACCAGCAATGACTTACGCATGTGCGGCTTGGTGTTTTATTGCTAAAACACATTTGCGAAATCTGCAGCTTCTGCAAAGCAGGACGTTTCGCACTATTTTTTACGCCTCATGGTATGTCTCTAACGAAACTCTACATAGGGACCTTGATGTCCCTTACCTAAAGGACCACATTAAGCAACAGGCGCAGCGGCGCTATAGCCTAGCAAAATCACACAGCAACCCTCTGTTGCGTGAGTCAGTGGACTACACAGTCGAGCAAGCAAAAAAAATTAATTCGTCAACTTAGAACAACCAAAATTGGAGCATTTTGACAAAATCTTTAGAAAAAATCGAATATTTTTAGACCATATCAAGATCTGTGAAGTGATTTTAAGAATGCCTGGACGCTGCCTATCCTAAAAGATTATCTTCTTCTACTTTGCTCTCGTTCTTCCTTCTCTCCTTTCCGTCCCTTTTTCCCTTAAAATTGTCTGGTTTCTGGGTTACCAGACCTGACAGACTTACAAACTGACACTGTTTCTCAAGAGCTAAGGTCCCACGGACCGCTCTGACAACCAACGATGATTTGACCGTTATGACCATGACAAGAACATGTTGACATTCTATACAGACAGTGACAAGCATAAATGTGGAAGCTCATACGCTGACGAGAAAAATGATGGTGAAACAAAACTAAAAAACGAGAGCCTGTGAGCTTACACAACGAAACGTCCTCGCATAGAAGCCTATTGCACATGAATGTGTGAGAGAGATGGATGTATGAAAATAATTTCTGTAGTTATTCGGTATTACCGTTACCCGTGAAAAGTGCAAAAAACTGTAACAGTTCACTTACTATTGGATACACACACTCAGGTAGGTACGTATGATAACGGTATGTTACAGGCAGCGATGTTCATGTTATCATAATATGACAAGCACGAACCTCTCATATGTTGATTTATGTGAACAGGAAGTATTTTTATTTTTTAATCATTTATACAGCGTGTTTGTAGTAGTAGTCAAGCAGTTTTATCATAAATATGTAGAAAAATAGAAAATATAGCATTTTATAAGATGGATTTTATCCGTATATCCATAATCAATTTGTCTATTTGCAAGGGTTTTTTCTTATACGAGACTCATCACCGATTTGAAAAATTACGGCCCCAGGTCATTTTCAGAAAAAAAATTCGAAGGAGTTGAACATTGTGGGAGGTATATTTCAATCCATGGTTCTAACCCCAGTAGTTCCACACACGCATTTAACATATTCCACGCATCATAGATTTAACCGTAGATTTACCTCTAAAAAATGATAGAGTAATATCATGGATACGCGCCTCTTTCTGGGTTGACCGTTTATATAGCGATGACGGACAAACGAGGGAGGGGCGACGTTGCTGGATGGATCATTAGGGCGGGGAAAAATGTCTATGGACTTTATCTGTTTCACATGTTCTGAGCTAACTTTGTTCTCAGGAGGCCTGACTTGTGACGAACTTAACGTAATATCACTCTCATGCATAGACCCAGCATATATAAAGTTAATACTATGACCGTGTCTAGGGGTTGTTTTGCACCTCCCTGCGTGCAGTATACCTGTGAAGAATGTCTTAACGGTAAACATATGAGCGCATCTTTGTAAATGAAGGCAACACTGCTGGAAAGCCTTATGTGAAGAATTGTACACAGACGTAGGCGTGGCACTAATGTTTTGTCCTATTAATAAACGCTAATCTTTAATTTGGCGGTTGTACCAAACGGAAATGGGTATAGTTTATGCCCAAAAAATAAAAAATGAAGTGCCAGGGTGTCAATTTTATATAGTTAATGCCAAATTTTAAGCTAAGTTTGAAGTAGTAACTCGATTGGTACGGTTCCGGTACAAAGCAAGGCCCATAGAGAGGATACGCATCTGCACCAGTTCCGGCCAGGCACTATATTTGTTTTTGAATTATACAAAGTGTATTTCATCCGCTTACTTCATCAGCATGCTTATACCCTAGTGGATTCTCGCTCTAATCTAAAATAAGTAAGCAGATTGACTAATGGTACAATGTGCACACACACTTACTCTTATAGGTTCGGTGATAGAGGGCTGCTGTTTTGGCTTACATTCTGAAAATAGTTCTAATACATCTAATACCGACATCGTTCACGGGATACTATGTTTTATATTAAATATCAACAAGAATCAGCAAAAAGCACACGCGCATGATAAATAGCTTGACTGTGACAAGCATAAGTGTGGAAGGCTCAAACGTTGACCAAAAAAATTTGATAGCAACAAGACAAAACTAACAAACCTGTGTTTACCGAACGTCCACGCATAGGCCGACTGCATATATATGTATGAGGAAGATGGATGTATGAAAGTAAGTGCTGTAGCCTGACTGTCAAAAACCGTGAAAATACTTATACATGCATTGATGTACTAATATGCTCAACGACTATTCCAGTTGTACATGTGCGCTGTTTCTTTGGAAACAGCATCCAAATGCACTCCTTTTATACACCACCAATGTATTCACTTTGCTCCCTAGCGTGCATTCGGAAAGAAAATGTAAATATATTAGTTTTCGTGAGCAATTTCAAAAATATTCGGCCGTTTCTGTACTGATACATGCGACCGGCTGGAGAAATGGATACCAGAAAGCTACATGTATTTGAAATCCACCTGCGGCATCCTTCGTCTTTTAGTTCTAGGAAGTCTATTGAAATGTGCATCTATGTCGTTTATTCCACTACAACTTACTGAAGTCATGCAGGCCCAATTTTGAGCGAAGTAACTTATTGTGTAAGATCGTAGGGCTGGCAGAAATGAAGTACTTTTTGGAAGACAAAATGTAGGACATTGGATGGCATTCATGTAAATTTTCAAGAGCTGCGTACCTAGGTGGAGTGGACGGCCGGCTTATTGGTTCAGGTGAGAAAGGTTGAGTGAAAATAAAACTAAATTCTCATGCCCTCTTTTTACATATACTCCGTAAAATACTATTAACACCGGCAGATACTTCCCGTCGGCCATAATTTCTGCCAGACATTTTAAGCAACATATCCTGCTATAAATTAGCCTATCACCAACTTATTTCCATGAAGGTTTAGAAAAAAAGGTTTCATCCTGAAATTATTGGGTGTGATATAAAGTTTTTTATTCTGGAATTTAACTATACAGAATTTCTCAGAAAGTTCCATTCGAATAGAGATGATCTTTTTAAAACGGGACAATTTAGTGGATAGCTGCTTAAAAAGATTCTATATTTTTTTTATAAAACCTTTTCTTCTAAACGTCCATACAAAACAAGTGGAGGTCGACTTATAACGGAACGCTTTAGCTAAGGCGACTGGTAGAAGCTATGGCCAGCAGGAAGTGTCTGGAAGTACTGAATATAATGTTGTAATAATGCTTCACAAAGTATACGAGGTGCTTCTATCCCTTTCTAACGCACGTTTTGCGCGCTTCTCGCGCTCCTCTCTCGGACACATTATGACGTCAGTGGCATTTGGCTTTCAGTGTATGTGAGAATCAGCCACCCAGATTTAAATAATAATAATAATAATAAGTTGCTTTTATTGCTCACGTAAGTACAGAAAAGGTACATAAATCTGATGCAGCGAGCAAACGGCAAGGTTCGCTTGATTGACAACCATTAGTTGTCAATCCGCGCTCTTCCACCTAACCAAAAAAATAAATAGTAGTATATCAGTAATAATAACAGCAAGATATATAAGTTAAACGTTCACACAGATACCTATAGGCATATTATGTTTTAAAACTATATATTATATTATACATCCATAGATGACTTATAACTGTTGCAGGCAGCTTGGTAAGAGCTATAATATGAAAAAGACATACAGAAGAATAATGGGCAAATCATCGTGCAGTGTAATTAGTCTTATTGTTCCTCTTTCATCAAGATAAGTCAGTTCTGGCAGCCATAGGATCTCGGACGATATTGAAATGTGATATATGCATAGATGTTTCTGCCCCGCTTTTTAATAAGAAATAGGCAGGCAGAACTTCATTCCCGAATTACTTAGGGTGATTCACAAGTCGTGATCAAAAATGAAACATCATACACATGACCGCATTTTAAAGGGATCTGCTATTTAACATTTTTTCCTTGAGGGCTTCATTAAAGTTTAAACATAAAAAACAATTTTTTCGCTACTGTTTTTTTTATTTTTACGAAAACAATGCACTCCAGGAAAAAAGAGCAATTATTTGTAGCAAATTGAAGGTAAAATTCGGAAAATTGCGCGTTCCGAAAAAAAAACAGTAGCGCACCATTTTTATTTGGAAAGATAATGCGATTATTCCCATGTATCTCCGCCACTGATACACGTTAATTTTAAGTAAATACTTTTGAATATGGATAATACTTCCACATACCAAATTTTAGTTTATTCCAGTTGACGGTGTTGAACATATTGAAAAAATTGGTTTTTGTTTGTTAAACTTTAATAAAGTCCTCGAGGAAAAAATGTTACATAGAAGAACCCCCTTGGAATGCGGTCCTGTGTATGATGTTTCAGTTTTGGTCACGACTTGTGAATCACCCTGTATTTCGATATAGCGGGCTATGTATAGTTGTACCTGCGATTCTCCTACTTCGTGCAATAACTGTATTCCCAGTGGCGTTATACTACTTCTTATTGAAAAGTGTTAGAGTAATTGTTTTTTACTAAAAAGCTAGAAAAACATTAAACTCGATGGAACAAACTCTCGTTCATGAGTAGTGGAACATAAATCCTTCATAACAATGTTTATTTTCTATCCTTAACATATTCTATTTCTAGCTGTTCTTGAGTCATCCATTTGACTGTGCAAAAGTTTAAAGAGTGCATAAACACCGGAACGGCTTTGTTAATCGAGAATGTAGGGTGACTTTTTTCTTTACAAATTTTCTACTAGTCTATCACGATTTTAAGTCAAGGATTATAGTGCCGTATCAGCAAGAAGGTGAGATGACGCTGCGAGGTCAAAAGCTATAAGTACGAAGTATCTTGGAAAATCGAACATAATCGTCCACTTAATGGTCAGACATCCCAATTTTGATGTCAATACCACTATAACTTAAGCTGGATATAACTAACATTACGAAAATTGAAGATTTTGGTCTCACATCTAATAACATTAATTTGTTGCTAAGTCATATTTGGCTCAATATCATTATTTTCTTAACTTCATCCAGAATCGCTGTTTGGAGCACTTATCACGGATCACCCTACTAGTTTGTTCCTCACTGTAAAGCTTGTCAGATGTTTTTGGAACTTGCTAGCTGCTTAAAAGAAAACAGCTATCTCATTATCAATTGCGCAGCTTTTATGTTGTGCTACCTGTATACTAAGAGGAGCTTTTCAGTGCCTCGTTTTGTGTTACTCGGAGTAACTCGGAGGTACCTACCACCTGTCAATACCGTTCCAGTCCTCTATCATCTTTATTTTTTTTTGCCAAAAACTGATATTGTTATGACCCAGAGTCACAACGTACATTTGAGATGTTCCTGAATAATAAAGATCACAGAGAGTGTAAGAATGCAGGTTCATAGCTGCTTGGCTTCATCTACAAATAGACACTTCGAAAATAATTTTGAATGTCTGCACTACAATATGAATTCGACACATGTATCCAGAAGCTTTACAATAAAAATGCAGACCTTTCACGTGTTGCGCCGTCATTCTAAAAGCATCATCAGGCATCAATTGGATTGTCTGACAATGCTTCTGGAAATAAAGGCAAAATATGTTTACATTTTCATTGCTTGGCAGTGTGATACAAAATGTCAACGTCAAAGCAAAAGATCAACAAATAGGTTAGGTTTTTGTCGTCGCGTTCCCGTGCGCATTTGCTAGAGTAGGTCGGGAGCGTCACACTCCGGGTAGTCTTTCCGAAGCGTATTTTTGAACTTTATGTCAAGGGTCAACTGTGAATATCGGACTGTTAATAGTAATGGGAAGTTCATTCTTGTCACGTCTGGAGTGTACCTCTAACGTATACTTTTTCCTATAGAGTCCCTAGTTGATATCAACCCGGATTACCATTAACGTGGTATGGGCTCTCGTCACTGCCTACACTACTGAACCTCCCATATACTGTTCGTTGATCGAACGTGATTATTTTTTGAATGTTCATCTTGGCTGTAGATGTGAAAATAACGATGCTTCTAAATGAGTAATACCGATACCTTGACATGGTGATGATGGTAAGGCCTTAGTTACTTAAATATTAAGGGTTTGCGATCCTCATTAAATGTAGGAACAACATATCTCACAGAATAGGACTTCCCTTTTAAATGACAATAGAGGGGTTTCCAATCCCCAATTCAACCCTCACCATTGGAATCTCAGAAACGATAAGAGATATGAAGTCGCCTAAGTAGGGACATCAATGCGTATTTAGGTAATCAACAAAATATAGAATAGAAAATGTCGAAATTCAAAATGCCTCCGGAAACACACTGAAAAACCCAATTCTCTCAGAATCGTTTTCAGTTTCCCCGTCCTTATTTGTGATGCTATTTCAAAATAAGTTGCACGTGAACACTGCAACTTATTCTCCTTTACAGGACGGCATAAATAGAAGTTCAATATCATGTTTCGTCTCTTGTCCTACAGCATCAAGTTTATTTTTTCTACTGGATATCATATTGGGCTTTTGTCCAGATGAATAGATTTCTTAATTCTGGATTCCAAAAATTGTATCATACGTCATGCATTGACATTGTCAAACTTCAGTTATTTGAAAAAAACAGAATTTCCTAGATAGGCCTTGAAATTATAGTCATTTGTCTCGCATAATGTATTCATCCCAAAATAATTTTTATTTTTCCTTGACCTTATTCGAGATGGGATTTCAAAAAAAATTGAATGTTGTCATTGTTACTTATTTTCCTCTACAAGGCGGCGGGTAGTCGAATATTCAAATCGACATTTCTTCCTTCAACTTCCATCACCATATTTGTTTTTTCGTGTGAACACTAATTGGGATTTTATACTTTTAAATGGTACTTTCAGTCCTAAATTCATTGATGTATTACCTTAATTAGTCACGAATTTGTTGTTGGATGAAATTTATATGAAAGTAAAAAGGTATGGGGAAACCTGAACACAAATGTTATGTGCAATTCGGGGTCTGATCTAGTATACGAAACAACCAAAATCTGACAATTTCAAGGCATACCTAGGAACTTCTGTTTTCTAGAATAACTATAGTTTAGCAAAGTTAAAATTAGAGACTCTATGCATCTGCGCAAAAGTTCAATACGAAAAAATAAAGTTGATGCTAGAGGACAAAAGACGAAGCGTGATATTAAAATTCTAATTATGATATCTTGTAGAGGGGAATAAGTGGCAATATTAACACGCAATGCAATTTTGAAACGTCATCTCAAATAAATTCAGAAAAAGATAAAAATAGTTTTGGGATAAATCTGGTATGGGAATATCAACGTCTGACGTATTATACATTTTTGGAATCAGAACCAAAACCTCTGTTCGTCTGCAAAAATCCAATATGGCTTCCATAAGGAAAAGTAAGGTTGATGCCAGAGAACACGAGATGAAACGTGACATTGGAATCCTAATTATGTCATCTTGTAGAGGAGAAAAAGTGGCAAGTTAGTGTAGTAGTAAAAATCAAAACAATTTTGGAAAAGTTCGGTTTTTTCCGTACTTTCAATTTCAAAACTTAGTAGAATTTTATTGATCACCTAAATACGTAGCTTTGCCCCCATTCAAGTGACTTCGTATCTCGTACAGTTTAAGGGATCTTAATGGTGAGGGTCGAATTTGACATACCCTGTATATTATTACTATTCATAAAAATAGGGATTATACAATGAAACTAAGTGATAAGTACAATTTATCAAGGTGCGAACAACCTGTCGTCTTCCAATCAATCAATTTCTACAAGGGCATTACATTCATTTACATCTCTATCTTTGTCTGTGAAAAACGGCGGCAGAGTTCTGTCTGCTATAGAATTGCTGCAGCCATCGGAGGTTCTGTGGATCACTTTTTGGGGGAATTGTATTCTCCAGTAATTCCGACTCTCTGAGAACAAAAGGCGCTTTTCTCCTACTAACCGGCAGGACTGGATTTAGCCATTGCTCAACCACATCTGCCATTTCTTTATGTGCAACAGAAATCAGCGAAAAGTTTCACTTTCCTTCTTCTAGCTCTCCTTCCCCCAATGTGCACGCATATTGCGGAGAAATGGCGCGAAGGGAACCACACCGACATTAGTTTGTCAAAAGGAAGGTTCGACTTTTTTCGTATTTCTCTTATTTTAATTAAAATCGAGAGATTTTGTTATTAAAAAACGGTCAAAGAAATTTGAGTGCAAAATATTAATATTTACGTCGTCGGAAAGCATTTTAAAATCAAGTAGCCAGATACGTGCTGTCGCCCTAATAGAGTACTTGTACCTTGTGTCTTGAATACGGAGTGAAGAGTATACGAATACGGATTTATATAAACTGGAACTGACGTTTGTGTACTAGCTCAATGCTCCAAGGTTATCAGAAAGCTGATTGGCGAAATTTACCCCACGTGAATGTGGAAATAGTGTACGAGTTTTTGGCAAATAATGCAAATTTAAATGAACCTCAGAGCAGCGGTGTTAAAGTAGTTCGGTAAGTACCTATATGCTTAGCTCCAATGGGTAGTATTTTTTTGTGTTTCTCCGCTTTGCTTTAGTCTTTCGAAAGCTAATAATATTAAGACATAATAAAGCCTGCTCGTGACAATAATTTTGAAGGCTATTTATCTTTGCTTTTTTCTTCCTAGGTAAAATATTATGTAATTTAAACTATCATACATACCTTTTTACCTTGTTACGCCTATTAAGAGCCCCAAAATTGGTTCTTTTTGCATGCATAATGAGGCTTTTTTATTACACTATTCTGAAGTAAACTATGGTTACTAATATGTTTTCAATGAGATAAATTCTAGGGATGTAGAGCGAATCCTATTGTTTAGGTTCTATTGGGGAATACTTAAATTAGGGGGGG